GTGCAGGTGGATGACAAGTACCAGTACTCATGCGAGGACAAAGATAATAAGGTGCACGGGTGGATTGCAGAGGACCCCCCTGTGGGATTTTGGATGATCACACCCAGTAATGAATTCCGCGTTGGTGGACCCAACAAGCAGGATCTTACTTCCCATGTGGGCCCCGTTGTTCTCAATGTAAGCAACCCAACTCTCTAATTTATCCAAATTCTGTGATACATATTCATGTCTGATTCCTTTAGTGCCTAGAGGTTGTCGCTTGTCGGCATAATTTGCTAACTTGCTATGTTCAGCTTTTGTCTAATTCCTTCACTCACATGTAGATGTTCACGAGCACACATTATGCTGGGAAGGACTTGAATACAGCATACAGAAATGGAGAGCCATGGAAAAAGGTCCTTGGCCCGGTATTCGTCTATCTTAATTCTATTTCACCGAAAGAAGATTCCTCGATACTTTGGGAGGATGCTAAGGAACAGGTTATAAATCTGCTAATTCAACTACTGATTCTATTGAGACAAATTACGGATCATACATTTTTATTGACTGTAACACGATGTTTCATCGATTAATTTAGATGTCAATAGAAGTCAATCGGTGGCCATACGATTTTCCTCAATCAGAAGATTTCCCTTCTTCAGATCAGCGCGGTGCTGTCACTGGCCAATTACTAGTTCGTGACCGGTAATGCTATGGTGACTCTGGATGATCAACATGGTTGAAGTAAATAATTGCTAACAATTGTTATTTTTTCCCTTTCATTTCAGATACGTCAATGAGAGTTTAACGTATGCCTCCTTTGCTTATGTGGGTTTGGCCGCGCCAGGAGATGTGGGCTCATGGCAAACAGAATCCAAGGTAACTTCAGTTTGAACTTGAAAAATCTTGATTTGAATTATCCAGAGATTTATCTATCTTCTTCTTCTGAAAAAAATGTTCTTTTTTCAGGGTTATCAATTCTGGATTCGAGCTGACAGACATGGGCATTTTGTGATTAAAAATGTCAGAGCTGGGAACTATAGTTTGTATGCATGGGTTCCTGGTGTCATTGGGGATTACAAGTATGATGCTAACATAACAATTAATCCAGGTATGATAATCTTTCCCTCTCTCTTCTTGATCAAGAGTTACCTGTAATAGGATAAAAATGGATTTTCCTTTTGTTGCCTACTATGTGTAAGGTGTCAAATGCAGACGTAGTTATATTGAAAACTATGAGACTCTTGCTTCTTTGTCCTCCTCCTTTTTGCTCTGGTTAATAGCTTGATTATCACATAAAAAATGCAGGATCTAGGATCAGATTTGGTCGCCTTATATACGAGCCTCCAAGAAATGGTCCTACTCTGTGGGATATAGGCATTCCTGACCGCACAGCTGCAGAGTTCTACGTACCAGACGGATACCCAACACTGATGAATAAATTGTACACCATTGATCCATCAGAAAAGTAAGCCCTCGTCAAAACTGCCACGCATTCCGGCTGCAGATTTTTCTTCCCTTTCATATATCCATATAACTCTTTATATGTCCAGGTTTAGGCAATATGGATTGTGGAACCGATACTCCGATTTATATCCCATCGATGATCTCGTTTATACCATTGGTATTAGTAATGTTGAAGACTGGTTCTTTGCCCATGTTACCAGGTATTTGTCTCACTTAATCTTTTAGCAGTAAGCTGGCTATTTAGCTAACTTCGCCACTGCTAATTCTAACACTTGATCAACAACAGAGATGCAGGAAATAAGACGTACGACCCAACAACTTGGCAGATTATCTTTGAACTCGAAAATGTTAACCGAAATGAAAACTACACTCTCCGATTGGCCTTGGCTTCAGCTACTGCATCCGAAATACAGGTAGGTAAATTACAACTTGTCCTTCTCATTATCTGCCACCATTTTACCTGTTGCTAGAATTGCAGTTCTCTTTAATCAAATAATACTAAGAGTTGCTATAATTTGGTCAAAAGGTTCGGTTCAACTATCCAAGTAGCGATCGGCCACTATTCACAACAGGAGCCGTAGGAAAGGATAATGCGATTGCAAGACATGGGATTCATGGGTTGTACTGGTTGTATGGCATTGATGTCCCAGGCTCTCAGCTTGTCGAGGGAAAAAATACAATTTATCTCACTCAGGCTAGAAGCGATGGCCCCTTCCATGGTGTCATGTATGATTACATTCGTTTAGAAGGACCAAGAGGAACTTGATCAGTTGTAAAGGAATCCTATTATTCGTAGGATCCAATACATAGATTATATGTTAATTCAATATTGATGGTATAATTCATATTCTTTTATACAGAAGAAAAAATTTGAATTCCAACAATGATAGAGGCCCGCAAATTTCCATTTCCCATGTTTCCTTTTTTCTTTTTATGTCAGTAATAATTCGGCTGTGCCTTTCCGTTGTTCTTTCTTTGTCAATGGTTCGAGGAGACATCTTTCTCTGCATGGTTACAACTTGCAACTTGTAAAACAAACCCTATAAGAAAACATCAGTATTTGGTCATTAGCAACAGCAGTGCATAAAACCTGGATTCTTACACCAACCAATTTCTTGTCTTAAACAAGGTGAGACAACATTTCCTTAGTGATCACGTATTTGTTCCTGTTTTTTCTTAACTTTGATCTCTGTTTTGGGTGTTTAAGATGAATGAATTATTGCTTTTGGTCACTGTGTTTTGGGTGCATGCCCATCATTGCTAGCTAGTTTATGAGAAATAAACAAATGGTTTTAGTTTATCAGCGCTCCTTGTACATCATGAATTGGGAATCACTAGAGGGTTTAATCTAACCTAGCACTAATCTTGTCCCAAAACATTCCCTTTCTTCCCCCTCGTTAGGGGTGGAGTCGTCTTTGAAGTTCTGCTAGAACCCTCAAGTCTAGATAGGAAATTTGATTTCGTTTAGAATAGCCGGGTAACAGGGGATTTTTAACTGAAAAACAATGTTCTCTGACATCGAGCGTTGTAAATTTTATTTCGATAAATATTTTGTTTTTTAAATTAGAATGAAATGTTTTAATTTTAAAGTGTTTTAGTATCCTGTTTCGGAATTTATATATATATATATTCAAGATAAATTAATTATAAATTATAAAATGCAAAATAATATCAAACAAATATAATTTTAATATTTTAAATATTTTTAAATAATTAAAATTAAATAAATCTTTAACTTAAAGTAATTCAACTTAAATAAAATATTAAAATATTATAAAAGAAAATATTTTAACATAAAATATTTTAAATATAAAGTTGGATTAATGCTATCAAGACTAATAAAATCTAAAACATCTTTTATTTTGCTCAAATCCCTACAAAGTATAAATATAAAAAAAGAACACAGCATAAATATAAACCATATATATTAGTAATAAATCTAATTTTAAAAAATTAATATAATTGTTAATAAAAATACTAATAATAAATTCTAATATTATTTTTATTAAAAAAAAACTTTTTATACTTGGATGATTTAATTAATTAAATTGAATCAGATTTAATTTGATTTAATAATTTTTTAAAATCGAAACGAAACATTTCAGTTGAAATTTAGCTGAAAAATCTGGAATAAATCTAAATTTAAAATAAAATAAAAATTATTTTATATATTGTTTTTAAATTAATATAAAATGTTTCAGTTATTTAAGACAAAACCAAAAAAAATGGTAAGCTTGTTTAAAACAGGAAAAGCTCAAGCTTCTCCCAAAGTTGGGTAAAGTTTGTTCAATTTTAGACCTTGCTAATAACTTGTTAGAAACTCGAAATAAAGTTTAAGACCTTTGCTAATAAGTTGCTGGAAACTCAAATCCTGTATTACGAAGAACAGACCCAGCAGCATTTTACTGGCTTCTAAAGCATTTAGAGACTGTATAGTATTTTGCTCCCTCCCCATTTGAGTGGATGTTTTTCTTCCTTGAAAACTTATGGCTTAAAAAATGAAAATAAATAAATAAGCTCTATTCAGTTTGTGGCTGATTCAGGAATCATTTCACAGGTCTGGATTACAACTTCGCAGGCCCTTGTTTTTTTTCCCTTTTTTGATAGTATGCCCTGTTTTCTTCTTTCAGTTGTTAAATACGGAAGGTATCCTGACCATTTGTCCATTTTTGTGTGGGTGGTGCCTACAAAAACATGAGAAATAGGTCGTGGAATGCATCGTCTTCAGGTAATGTTGATGCTAGTACCAACCCAGATATTAATAATCCTCTGTTCTTCCATCATCTGCGACCAGCTCATGCCTCCAGCACTTGAGAAAGATAATCAACTGATTTTCCCTTTTTGTAGTGGCCACCCAGATGTTGTGCTCAGAAACCAGGTTTTCAGCACTGGTAATGGCAGTGTTCTAAAATTCTGGTTTGACCCATGGTTTAATGGCTGAACCCTTGATGGTCTCTCGCTATTCAACTTCGAACACCGGAGCTGTAGTGAGCAGCTTCCTAGGGCATCTGGAATGTATTCCTCTCAAATTCATCAAATAAAAAACAACTGCAGCCTTCGCAAGAAGGTTGGGTCTTTTATGTAGTGGCACCCTCAAGCACATTATGATGCATTGTTCTTGGAAATCCTAAATCAAGGAGCTCAGCAAGAAGGTTGGGTCTTTTATGTAAAATTCTTTCTCAAAAAGGAAAACCTAAAACCTAAAAGACTTCCTTTTGGAGGTGGATGTTAGTAGTTGAGGGCATATATAGGTGTAAATGTTGAAATCACCAAATATAATGATCACCTTCACATTTTACTAGCTGAAGCAGCAAATTTCCAGCTCATGCATAAATCTTTCTCAAATTTTCTCCTCCTATTCCTCCCCCTCACTTTCCACCCATTTTTCAAATAAAGGAAAATGCCTCGGAACATGTGTTTTCGTCTCTCTTTCCTCCGATTTTAAGAACAAGTTCGAGAATTTGTGCAGCTAAACGATTATTTATAAAGGACCTGCATCATTAATTATATGAAATGAATCCACGTACAATGAAGAGATTGGTTGCCCAACACAGTAAAGAAAGCATCTGCTTCTCTCACTATAAATTTATTGATTGGCACTGTTGTCATTTACTGTACAACTCGACAGCTGAGGGTTCCTATGGAACATTCAAATGGCAAAATGCAATTAACCCCAAAAGGACCAACACACATTCATGAAACTGTATCATGCTTGAGCAACATTAAATTTTCCACAACAGGCATAAACTCTTCTAGGCTCTCTTCAAACAAAATCTCAAATCGGCCTGGCCTCTAGATGCTGCAGCCAAATTATTCCATATTTTGAAGTTTAACTTTTGACCTGAGTTTCCTTAGAAAACCTTCATTACAAAAAAAAAATCTAGATGAAATCAGAAAGTAGCCTTTCTATGCTGCTAAAATGCTTCTATTAAAATTTGTAAACCATTTCCTCTGTGTATCCAGCCTCCTTTAGTAGGCCAGTGAGCTGCAACAGAGCAAATAGCAAGAATTAACCAAACAACAAATTGTTGACTCGTTAAAAATAACAAAAAGATGAATACACCAGTCCATACCTCCCCCTGTGAACGATCTTTAGCCTTATCACCAGATATATGTTTCATCATCCCAGGGGGTCCACACACCTGAAAGAGCAAACAATATTGAGAGCATGGGGGGTTCAAAATGAGTTACAACCTCGTTCCAATTTCCACATCAACTATATGGGAAAGCAAAAAAAAAGAGTTTACAGTTGATATGGATGGGTACATTTTTTGTCATGCAAGAACATATCTTTTCACTTAATGGACTAATGAAAGAACAGGGTGACATTGACTGTGAGTTGAAATTTATATAACTCAATTAAAGAAAATAGAAGTTGAAAACTATCTTAAACAGGGTTAAGTCCTTTCTAGCGTAGCCAAGAAACAATGATTATTGTTTCGTTATTCTATGAATGCTATGCTGGTCAGTCATTTAAAGAAACACCTTATAACTCACGACTTTGAGAGTTTAGAAAAAGGTAGTCTGTTATGCAGGAAAAGGTATCTGTAACATGCAAGAAAGTCCCGACATCAAGAAGCAGTATTTATTTCAAAAAGGGTCCATCATATCTGCTATGAAAGAAAAAGTATTGGAAGGGATAATGTCAATCTGACAGCTCTAATTGACAATGCAAAGACTTTTTAAGTGTTCAGTGAAGAAAACATAGTGATGGAGCAAGGATTTTCTTGGGTACGCAAAAACACATGCAAAACAAATCCTAAATAGTCATACAAGCTTGCGTAAGTATATGTTTGTGTGTTTGAATGTGTAATTACCTACATGCAAATTTAAACTTGCCTTGATATTAAAGTGTAATTACCTACATGCAAATTTAAACTTGCCTTGATATTAAAGTGTAATTACCTACATGCAAATTTAAACTTGCCTTGATATTAACATGTATATATCGAGTACCTCACGTGATTGAAGAAAAAAGCCTAATCCATTATACCGTATTAACAAATATATTAGGCTCAGCTTCAGTGCAAGAAACATGGATGACTAAGTATTTAATGAGCTACTATATAGCATAGATCAAGAAAACAGAAAAGGCTTAATTATCCAGTAATTGTTTTTAGTACAAGTAGGCCATGGCCCCCTCCTGCCTCCTGGGACTCCACTGAACTAGCTATATTTAATGAAGGCTAAAGATGCAGAAGTTACAAATTGACATTTACCAGGATAAGTGTATCATCACTTGGACCAGGTAAGCCTTTCACAACCATATCTTTTGATATGTAACCTGAACCTCCTTTCCAGTTCTTCGATGGATTGTCTACAGTATAGAATATCTGGGATTTTTACCATAAAAAATATCAAGGAGTTTTCATTGGAGAAGAATAGCTGTAGTTAAACTGATACAGCAAATTTTCAAATTCAAACAACTAATACCTTTAAATTTGGATGGCTAGCAGCAAGAAAGTCAAGCTTCTGTTTAAGAAGTATGTCATCAGGGGAGACATTCGCATAAAGCAATGATACCTGTTAAGAAAAAATAAAGATCATCAATTTGCAACTACTTTAGGTGAGAAGTCTTCATAAAAAAATAGTGAACATGATTGATCTACATAAATAAATGATCTTGTAACTTATATTTGTGATCTACTGACATATCGATATAATGTTTGATGCTAAAAGAAACATTCAAGTCATCATTAAGGTATGAGTGAAAATACAAATTTACATATTAAATGGGCAGAAGCATCAGATCACAGAAAATAACATTAAGACAGTGTCACCTGAGTGTTGTCATCGGTATTCTTCAGTATAGCCTCAATTACTTGAAGCATTGGAGTAATGCCTGTGCCACCTGCAATCTGAAAGAACATGATAAAATCATCAAACTGGATAGCAATGAACATGTTTGTAAATGGACCTTGCAATAAGAACTAGATAGCACATATGCAAAGTGATGAAAATATAGAAAAAAAATGAGCTAGCAAATCTTTTCCTTCATGCTAAATGTAGAATTGGACTGATAACCTACTATTATTTAATGTAAATATGATAATTGACTCTTCAGAAACACATATTAGCCATGGTTAGAAGAAAGGATGCAGAGTTGACAATTCCCAACACCATCTTTCCCCTCATACCACTATTCTTTAATGTAAATATGATAAGACTCTTCAGAAACACATATAGCCATGGTTAGAAGAAAGGATGCAGAGTTGACAATTCCCAACACCACCTTGCCCCTCATAATTAAGAGGGGTTTAACACCCTTCACTACGTTTCAAATCTACATGAGCTCTTACCATGCCAATGTGCTTCTTCATATTGGGAGAATATCTGAGCTTTTCAATGGGCCTGAAACAAGAAAAAGGCATCATTGATAAAGACAATGTACAGTAAAGATCTGTTAGCTTATGGTTGTGAATAACATACCCTTTCACTTCAACAACATCTCCAGATTTTAAGGTAGCGAAATGCTGGCTCATTTTTCCTTCAGGATACACCTGCAACAATTTGAAAGGAATGGGAGAAAAATTCAAGATGAGGAGCATTAAATAGGAATAAAAGGCATCTTTAATAGTCTAAACTGAGGAAGTATGTAAGGAAAAATAGCTAAAAAATTACATCACTTACCTTGATTAATAAATCAAAATATCCCTTAGAATCTGGGTCTGATATAGGAGTATACCTGAGTAGGGAATAAGTTCCACAAATTAACTTTCAACAATCCAAGAACAAACTAACCATTTTGCCAGTAAAATCATTCAAGAGAAGAGCCATGGAAACCACATTTTAACATGAAACTGTTTTATCTTCCTTTTTTTCTGAGGAGGAGAAAAGGGAGGCAGCAGCTTTGATGGTCAAAATTCTGCTTGTCAAGAAGAACAAATGCCAAAGCAAGTACAATTCGGATGAAATTCCATCCTAGGTCAAAATTCTGCATGTCAAGGAGCCCACTAACACCATAGAATTATAATTCAAAACGAATTCCATCCTATGTATTCAAGACATCCAGTTCTAAGAAACAACTTCAGTACTCAAGTATCAAGAACACTGAAATCCAAGAAAAACTTATAAGCAGTCAACTTTTACTCTAGAGGAAACAAGCCTCGCCATGAGAAGGTACAGCTGGAAGAAATCAAGCACCATATTGAGAGAAATAAAATTGGATCAAGCATATTGGAATCTTGAACAGGGAGACTTACGGGCGTACAACATATTTTGTTTTTCCTTCAGCATCTTGTCCTATTGGAGCCCTGCAGTTACAAAAGTACATCAAAGCAATGAAAGAACCAGAATACTTAATTTAAAGCCTCTTTTGATCCTTAAAAAGAAATAAACAAAATCTACAGAAAATATAGGGAAGTATCAGAACTAGCAGCATAAAACACACCTTGTAATAATGCATGAAGCAATATCTAAACCCAACTTTGCAGCAGGATCAAATGAAAACCTGGCATTCCAAAGAAAAGGGCAGGAAAACAAGTAACGATTATAGGCATGGAACACAGTTAACAACTAAAGTAACATTTGCCTAGAAAATCAGTTTCTTAGAGACATCACATGACGTGCTCCAGAACAATCCAAATTCAGTCAAATCCACAACAGGAAAAAAAAAAAAACCATACCTGAATAAATGAGTATTATGGCTAACTCTGGCAGTGTCTTGCAGCTTAAATTCAATCCATTTATCTGGATTGAGAGCTGAAAAGAGAGACAACAGGCAAGCAAGCATCAATATTGTTCCCAAAACAGCATAGCCACATCCCATCTTATGAACAAAAGGGAAGGGAGAGAAAACCCACTCACCAACTTTTGGGCTACCTTCTACTTTCACCTCTTCTAAATGAGCCTGGTACATTGTCAAAAATCACAAAGCATTTAAAAAATACTAAAACTGAAAGAAAAAAAGAGAGGAAATACCCATCTCAGAATCAATCAATTACGATGATGATCGTCATCATAATATCCATTTAATAAAAAAACAAATGAGTGTGATTTGATAGAAAACCCAGATGAGAAATTACCAAATTTGGAGAGTTGTAGTAGTACAAATAAGAGATTCCACCAGTAACTGCAGCGATTGCTCCAAAAGTGGACCTGGGCTCACCTGCAAATGAAACTGGAGTGGCCTTAGCTATTCTCCTGAAGAAGGTAGAAGCCATTTTTGTACACTCAAAATAAATTCCAAGCTGCAAAGCGAAGAAGCAAACTGTTAGCTAGGTAAATATATTCTGAGACAAATTCTACAGTGCCGCAGCATTAAAATGCCGTTACTGTGATACAATGCCTAAGCTGTCCCTTGGCTGCCACGTGGTGATGAACCTTCGTATTTGTTTTTCATTCTTTCCCTCAAAATATTGAAACTACAATTTCGGCCCACACTTTATGAGATTTTAACGGATTAATGACACATTTCCCCTTATATTTTTACTTTTTTATGGATCTTCCCTTGTATAGAATATTTTATGCATTCAACCATTTTACTATTGTTTCGTTAAAATTTATATCCTTTCATACAATTTTATTACTTGTCAAGAATGTATGTGCTAATCTATAAGATTATCACTTGAAAATTAAGCTGAAGTCGGGGATTTCAAACCGCTATTTTTATAGAAGACTGTATAAGCCACAAGCTGTTCGATAAAATGACAAGGAGAAAAGGACTGAAGTTGAATGGAGGAAATCATTTTTGAATTTATCCATCCCTTGTAACAAGAGAAATGCTAGTGAGAAAGAGAGAAAAATTTGCAGTTGGTGGCACTCAAACACTTAGTGCTAAGTTTCTGAGTACAGGTGCCGATTAAAATAGAGACAACCAGGTGTGTGCATGCAAGCAGTAGCAAACTACGGTTGCAGCTGAAAGGGTTTGAAGGAAATTTCTGTAACACACAAAGCCATCCTTGAGGACTGGACAACTCGCACATTGTGGGGTACCAGTATAAAACCCTGAGCATATAATTTCTCTCGCTCTCTTTTAATTTCTGTTTTTACATCTATGCATGGCTCATTGTTTTACCGTTTGCTCGTGTGATTGGTCATCCCTTTGTAGTATTTAGTCTCTCTTTTCTTGCCCTGAGTAAATTGTCACAAGTATTGCTTACAGATTACTAGCTTACGGACACATTTGTGTTTGAAGTTATCTTTCATCCATCTTTCTATCGCCTACGGCATTGTGTACTGCGTACTGTTTTTTTGCATATCATCTAGTTTTTATTTATTTCTTACAGGGATAAGCCAGAGTCATCAATCAGATCCTCAGCAGTATGGAAGGCAGTTTGGTGCCTGAATGCCCTGGAAAAGATAACGAAAATGCAATCTCATGCCAATCCAACTGCTTTAAGCTCTATTTAGTCCCCTCTCCCCTTTGTAGGCATGCCAAAAGGAGGAGGAAGCTGTGGAGCACACAATTTTCTTCTACGAGTATGCGGAGACCACATGGTTAGCTAGTTCTTGGGTTATCAAGAGTTTAACTGTCTAGTGATGACAAAATGGTAAAAATTTAGAATAAAAAGGTTTGCTTCTTCTGTATTTTTAGATTCGAGTTTTTAGTTGTTTATATGATGGTTATTAGAGACTTATATAATTGTTAGCTTTAGGGCCAATAAGATTAATTGTAGTGTGCTTAAACTGACTCAAATACCCATATTAATCTAAAAAACAAAAAGCAGAGTTTGGAAATTTTGAGTGAAGGTGGAGCGCTATTAATAAGCTGGTGAATGAATGCAGAAATGACAACATTGCTATTAGTGCTGCGTGTTTGCGCTGACAAATTTGGAAGAGCAAGAATGACCGTCAAATAGAGTCGTCCTATCAATCCACGTGAAGTAGCAAGAAAGGCATCCCTGCTCACAGCATAGTTCTCTCTCTTGCGGACCATCCTTCCTTCTCCTGCTCCAACATCTTCTCAAAGAGGATTCCAGATGGATAGGAGGGAAAAACCACTTGATGGGAACCTAAAGATAAATTTGTAGGGGTTCCACTATGGCAAAGCGGTGGATGGTAGGGGTTCCAAGTGCAAGAGGAGGCATGTCGCTCGAGGATAAGCCATGAAGATTAGTGAAGCTCTCATCTTCGCTACTTCGTTGGGAACTCATGGGATTGTAATCGAATCTGATGCTGTTGCTACTGTGCCAGCCATCAAGGACTCAAGCTTGACCCCTGCTTGGAAAATTGCTCTGGTCATAGCAGACATCAAGCATCATTTACCATTTATGCCTAATGTGTCCGTAAAGTTCATTAGTAGAGAGTATCATATGGTCGTTTGAATTCTTTGCCTCCAGAATTTATTAGGGTTTTACAAGTTTCAAAAATCATCTTTATTTAATAATTTAAATTATTTAAATAAAATTATAAAATATAATTTATATTATTATTTAATATTTTTTTAAATAAAATTTTTTTAAACTTGATATTTATATAAATCAATATTATTTTGTACTTATTTTTTATGGAATAAATAAAAAAATAAAATTTAAATTTATAATTATTTATTCATTAAAATTATAATATATATTAAAAAATTATTTTTATTTAAAAAATTAAATTATTAAATTAAATTTTAAAATTATAATTATAATATATATTAAATATTTATTTTTATTTAAAAACTTAAATTATTAAATAAAATTTTAAAATATAATTTATATTATTTTTTATCAATAAATTTTAGCTGCATGTAAACCGAGTGCAAAGACTACATTGGCCAACACCCAAATGTTTTCTCTCTTTTTTCTTTTTTCTTTTTTTGACCAGCAAAATACGTGTCCTTACATATCATAAAGATAAAAGAGAAATGACAAGATATGTTACAAAGGGATGAGAGAAATAAAGGAATCAATCCACCATGAAAACAAAAATGAAAAAATGAAAAGAAAAGGAAAATACTATGAAAAGAATACCCGTTCTCTCTCTCTCTCTCTCATTATAATTACTCTTATAATTATGTTTTTAACTGAGAAAGATCTCACAATTAATGTATTGCATAGAATGTTTATGTAAGGAATGCGACACTGATAGGTTGCTCTACTCCAGGATGCAATATTGCCACTACTGTCTTCCTGCGGATGATTAATTGAAGAGTAAATGATATAGAATAAGATTGACCATCAAGATGTAATTATAACCAGGAATCAACATTGGCTTTCTCTTATAAGCTATTTGGTTATGAGCGGTCGTTGTCAATTATTATCAACTATGAGGAAAATATTATAGCTAGATTTATTATGCTCCCTCTCATATTTCCACTGGTGATGTTTTTTTTCATTTTAATCCTTAAACTTTATTTGTTGTCGATTGAGTCTTGTCAAATTAACTGTCAGTTTCTTTTTAATTTATTAATCAATAACTAAATTAAAAAAGAAAGGATCATGGTAAAAAAAAAAAAAATACAAAAAATAGGGTGTTCTTTTCCCTTCTCGCTGTCAAAGAGTAAATTTTGACTTTGAAAACATTTATAAATTTATTTTTTTTGGATCTCTTTATATTTTATTTATAGATATAAACAAGTTTATCAAGGTATTTAGAATCTTTTCTAAATATTTTTAAATTAAAATTAGTTGAAAAATAATTCTTTTGACAAAAAAAATCGTTGCTCTAACTTTTTAACGACCCTTTAATCACTAGAATTTAGAGCTACAGGCAACAAGTTGTTTATGATTTTTTTGAAAAAAAATAAAAAAATCATTTAGCCTATAATATTTTAAAAAAACAATAAATAAAAAAGGCCTAGCATGGAAGTCACTGCCCTGATTGTTTTTTTTTTTTTTTAACGTTTCTTTAATCACTGCATTTTCAACCTCTCAAAATTCAAAATAATAATAAAAAATCCTTTCTTATTCAAAGGTTTTATTTTTCATTTGACTAAAAAAAATCTTTTTTTATTCAACTCTAAAAAATATGTTGTTGTTTTTTTTTTCAAGTTTCCCTTGCATGTCCTTTTTTTTTTAATTTTTGTATTTGATAAAACACAAACCCCACATGCATGATTATTGTGTAATTAAATAAAAAATAATTTTAAAAATAAAAAGTTATTAGAAACACCATGTATCATGAGTTTAATATATAGAATGTCCTAATTTCACTCATGTCTTTCTTGAATTTTTTTTTTATTTTGATTTTTTTTCTTGAACCTTTTTTTATTTTGATTTTTTTTATAGTTTAGGCATGTGGTTTGATCTATGATCCTGCATGATTGTTGTTTAAAAAAATTATTTAATGTGTTTTTAGCTTTTTAAAGCTAAAACAAACAAAAATTAACAAAATATCTCCATTTTATTTGATTTTAAAAAATATTTTTTAACTTAAAAAATAGATTTTTTGTTTTTGCAGTCCCATACTCCTATCCTTCTTGTTATTTTTAAATTACTTGGCACAAAAAAAAAGTCTCACCCACCTTTAAATAAAAATTAATTTATAAAATAAAAAGTTATTAAATTTAATAAAATATATGATCTAAATCATTAGTTTAATAAATTGATATGATTCCACTCAAGTTTTTTAACCTTTTCTTAATTAAATATTTTTATTTGTAATTTCTCTTCATAGGTAAGGATTATCAGTAGGTGCATGAGTTTGGTCTTATTGTTAATTTTTTAAAAAAAAAAAATTTATTTAATGCATTTTCAGCCCTTTAAAATTAAAAGAAAAAAATCATTTTTTTATTGTTTAAATGGCTCTTTTTCTTATTTGACTTTAAAACATCTTTTTGTTATTTAACTTAAAAAACTAGGTATTTTTTTTGTTTTTTCAATCTCTTGTGTCTCTTATGTTTTTTTATTTTTCAAATTGTTTTTTATTTAATTAAAAAAAAGTCACTTTATCTAGTTTTTATGTAATTAAATAAAAGATAACTTAAGAAATAAAAGATATTAAATTCAGTGAAATGTATGACCTAAATTACAAATTTAATAAGTTAACTCAAATTTACTTGAATTTAGTTTTTAACCTTTTTTAATTAATTTTTTTTAATTTTATTTTTCAACATTAAATTATTTTAGAATTGTATATAATTATTTGTTTTTATTTTTTTCACAAGGTTGTGACAATTTCATAATTTAAGTGTGAGTTTAATTGATTAATCCGAATCAACCTAAATCAATTTCACATATTATTATATCAATATTTAAAAGAAAAAAATCACTTCCCCAGCATTGAAAAAAGATATCATCCAATACAAGTCAAACGTTACAATATTCATAATTATTTTTTTTCTTCTTAGAAAACACAATTTCAATGC